TTCAAAAAACATGGTGCAATGTTTGCTACAAACAAGCAGCTCATCACTGGCGTACTTTAGCGGCGACCGTATATTGTTGGTATAAGGGCCCCTAAACAATGCGATATCGAGTCATCCAGGAAGTTTCGGAGGTATTTAAGGAATTCTTGACAGTCCTAGCGGCTTACTTGTGGAGTGGTCCTGACTACAAGTCTTCTTGAGTCACTTAAGGTTGCTTGAATACGGTAACTCTACAAATTTTGCCCCCGCCGAAATGTCAAAATTTTTGACATACGGTTTTGGCCCCTAGTTGAAGGCGGTAGCTGCTTGCGGCATCTTACTGACGTCCCACGTTCATGAAACGATTTTCATACAGCCTGACTTAACCAAAGTTCTTTCCTCATTGACTGGCCTTCCAATTATGTTTTTAGCATGGTTTCTCGAGTGGTTGGAGAAGAAACTCTCCTTGACAGAGACGCCCGGCAAAAATTAGCTGCTCGTCAAAGCTATTAGGAGCCGTGTTGCTTTTCAAAAGCATGTGGAGCGTCCAGAATTGTTTTCTATATCATCCAATGACGCACGCACGCCCGGGACAAAAGAGGATGATCGAACTTATAGGGCCAACTCTTTTGCTGGTTGAAACACGGTGGATTTCTCAAAGAAGAGCAAACACATTTCAGAGTTTTCAAAATCATATTTTTTGTTGTAATTACCACAGGTCCCGCCCGAGCTGCAATACGATCTATGTCTGAAGACATAGAGATTTCGGATCTTCTCTCAAGCTCAATGCTAAAACACCAGTCTCATCAAGGATAGTCCGAATTCAAAGGCAAGTTAGCGAGCGAAGACAAATCATTGCCAAAAGTTCAATACACCCTGGTCAGACGCGTGTACACATGAGAATCGAGTGTAAAAAGGGCTCGAAACGAAGTGATTCACGACTCGAAACGCTACACATGTGCAATTTTGGAACGAAGAGAAACATACCATGCCTGATTGGAGTTGCAATGATGGCTCAATGCAGGTACGCTTCTCGACTGTTCGTATACCAATACGGTTGCACAAAAATACCTTCAACTCAAGCATTTGATTCTTTTATTGCATCAAATGTCAATTCTTAGATGGCTCGATCAATGAATCCTGAAAGATTGGTTATGCATCTCAGCAGATTCGTAAATTGATACTGTGCTTACCATTCATAGCCCATATATTCGACGGTAATTTTCAAAGTACTGCACTTCGAGGGAGAAGTAGTCAGCGCCGATCACCATATGGGCACACAATCTTTGGGAAGCTCAGACATTTCGTGATCATTTTTATCATTTATTCGCAATCAACGCTTAGTTCAACAGTTTCTAGAATTCAAGTTGAAGTTGAGTTCTCGGAAAGTAAGCTTGCATATTAAGAACATACCTCGAGTTGTTTTCGCTATAACGAAAATTGAGCCCAAGCGGAAAGGTCAAGTATTGGATCGATGATTTTGATCCAAAGCTTTTCCAATGAAGTCCCAGTTCCTCGATAAGCCTATAGATTTGGAGCAATTTTTCATATTGACAGCTTCTCCGCATATTCTGGTGTCATTTTAAAATTGGCCTTGGCCCAGTTTGTTGCGTATCTTTAAGTGAAACTAGCCACTCTAGGTTTTTCGGCCAAATCGTTGTCACATTCCTTAATTCAATTAGTATTGATGTAGTTTCTACCATGATGGCTTGATTGAAAGAATGGCTAACGATCCTAACCTCAATCTTAAGTTCTAGGCTTTTCAAGACCTGGGGTCATCTCCGGAACGAGATGGCTACATTGCCATATTAACCGGGGCAACCTTGTAGCGAATGGCTAGAGAAGGCAGAGTCATTTTCTATTTATCTGTCCTGATTAAAATGTCGTACTTTGTTGAGAGTTACGATTGTGAAGATAGGTTGATTTCCAAATCTAGGATGATAAAAATCAGATACAAGGTAGCGGTCTTTTGAGTTCCAAAAGTTCCGACTATATAGATTGTATAGATTCACGATAGTAGATAGATCGCGGTAACAGCAGGGGACACGCGAACACTTACATGTATATATACGATGATGAGTGAGCATTAGCATCCTGCACACTCGAGATCTGGGCTCTTGAAAAATGAATCGCAGCGCATCAACAAAGGAAAATGGATACCAAAAACACATACGAGCTCTCCGTTCAAGATTGTCAGGAAATATCGTCAGAATTGGGGGAGCAGGCGACAATTGAGGATTACTTCATCGACCCCGAGGAAGAAAATGCACTTGTCAGAAAATTGGATAGGCGGCTACTGCCAATGCTTGCGCTCATGTACTTTTTATCTGCTTTGGATCGCTCCAACATCGGCAATGCGTACACCTCTGGTATGAAAGAAGATTTATCGCTAACAGCACACGAATATTCCAATGCAGTATCAGTATTCTACTCAACGTATTTGGCTGCAGAACTGCCTGCCGTCTTGTTGTTGAAGCTTGCTAAACCTCGTTACTACATGTCCGGGCTGGTCCTCGCATGGTCTCTGATAACCTTGTTTAGCGGTTTTGTACAAAGCTACAAATCTCTATTGGCCACAAGAGTGCTATTGGGGGCTTTTGAAGGCGGATTTTTCCCGGCAATGACTCTGATGATCACCATGACGTACAAGCCCGAAGAGCAAGCTAAGAGAATAGCGTTTTTCTTTGGCTCATCTGCCTTGTCGGGAGCTTTTGGAGGTCTCATCGCCACTGGTTTGGCGTCTGTCAAAAATGCTGGCGGATTGGAGGGGTGGAGGTGGCTTTATATTATCGAAGGCCTTATCTCCGTGTGTGCTTCGGCATGGCTATTCCTTGGTCTTCCCAATAACCTAGAATACTTGACCTTTCTCAATGATAAAGAGCAAGCGATTATGGGGCTCAGGTCTAAGCAGCGTATCCAATACATGGGCGCAAATCCGGCTTTTAGCTGGAATGAAGTCTTTCTAGCTCTCAAAGATCTCAAGACTTATTTTGCATTTACGATTCAATTTTGTCAAGATATCATCCTGTATGGCTTTAGCACTTTCTTGACTGCTATTCTCAAGCTGGGTTTGGGATTTGACTCCAGAAAAGCTCAGTATATGAGTGTGCCGGTCTACATCCTGGCCGCAATTGTGTTTATGATTTCGGCATATTTGAGCGATCGGTTCAAGATAAGAGGCCCGATATTTTTCGCCTACAACTTGTTAGGAGCCGTTGGCTATATTATCCTTCTTTCTGTCAAGAGCGACGCAGTGAAGTACTTTGCTTGTTACTTGATAACGTTCTCTCTTTACACGGGGACTGGACTCAACATCACTTGGCTTACCAACAACGTTGCACCACATTACAAGAGAGCGACAGCTTTGGAATCAGACCTTTGGAAACCTATCTGGTGCTATTGTGGGTCAGGTTTACACTAAATCCCCCTATGTTTTCGGAAACTCGTTTTCGCTCGGATGCATTGTACTGTCAAACATTTTGACGGCTGTTCAAATAGTCTGGTTGATGAAGCTGAACCGGACCAAGGCTGCTATCAGGGCAGGTACCAAAAAAGATACAAAGAAGGAGAGAATTGGGGACGAAGCTTTGGATTTTAAATATTGCTTGTGATAGAATTCAAGCGTTGCGAACGCATTCAATGGCTTATGGAATACTGCTGGGACGAGGAGGGCTTTTTTCAAAATCAAAAAGCTCATATGAAAGTGAATACAGGAATAACGCTATGATGTGTGCAATAGTGATTGGCCCAAAACGTTCAGTTGATTTTCGCATATAATGTCAAGAAAGCCACGTTTTCGGATTTATTAAGCCCTGGCCTTTGTTTTACGCCAAGTGCAATCAGTTCGTTGAGCAAACCGCCTCTTCCTGTTAAGCCTTCGAAATAACTTCATTTGTATGTTTGGTATTTCACCTTTCTCTATCTTTATCGTAATTCTCGAGATTAATTTTACCATCTGGCTTCGTGAGTCAAAAGTGAAGTCGCTGTTTAAAGCATGTCAGCTGTAAAAAAGTAAGTTCAGGACCTGTAATGATCTGTGTCTTGCTGCTAACTGAGGTTTTAGCCCAGTCAAGCCTGATTACGTGGTCTAACAACAAACTTCAAGCCCTAGGGTCTGTTTATGTTGGAAAAAAAGCCAAAGCCGAGATCGAACGTTGGTAACCAGGTCTGCATTCCACAGCGGTCAGCTTGCCGTGACCGCTTCATTTTCGGAGGAGGGAACTGCTGTCAAAAGAGGAAGCGATCAACGCTGATGGCTGGGAAAGGAAGGTAGATGTGACGTTGACTGTGATTATCACTTCATAACGTTCTGTCGCTGTCATGCTGATCTTGCAATGAGCTGGCACACAATGCCAGTCCGCAATACACGTTTCGAACAAGGTTGGACGGCAACCTGAATTGAAGGGCAAGGTTCACAAATGCCAGCAACAATCATTGTGACAATTCTCGTTTTTCGGGTTCTTTAAGTCTACTTATCGACATCCATGTTGCAGCTTCGCGGTCAAGATCCGAGTAGGTCTCACTACCCAGCCTAAAGAGATATAAACTTCTCTCAGCTGTTTTTTTTAGCACAATTGGTTCCGGTGTTCGCTTTAACTCATGGAACAAGATTTTTGGGAGGAATGCTATGAACCAGCCAGAAAAAGCTGAAAAAAAAAATCAAATGGAAATATCACCCGATCTCATACTCGTTCCTTTCCTTTCCATTCCCTTTCCTTTCTTTCACTTCCCTTCACTTCACCTGCTCTGTGCTGCTTTCGAAGCTGTAGTTTTCTATCGCGGGCCGACCGATGCCTCTAATCTTCTTTTTTTTCGGCTCGTATCGGTATACCGACAGAGGATGGATCAGAAGAGGCATTCTATCCAGCTCAAAACACATTCCCTGTCCCTGCGTCAAAACCGCGAATGCTTGCGCAAATTTATCACTACTTGTGGATTTCTCTATACTGTGCCACTTGGCCTTCCACTGTAGATCGAAGCCTAACTCTAAACGACACAGACTTCAGCTCACAACCGCTCATCGTCATTTCCAAAGTCCGCCTGTTCTGGCGATATGTCGGGCTCAAAAGGCCGGGCCCAAAAGGCCGGGAATTATGAGAGCTAGTCCGCACTCCCCAAGGCCTCGTAGCCCTGACAGTCTTGTGAGTCTTCGTTTACCTAGTCCTCGAGAAAGTATTCATGCATGCAAGACGCAGCACGGACTTAAAATATGCAGACGGCTTTAGATCTGCGATAAGATACAGAAACTCACGAATATTTCAGAAGGCACGGTAAGCTCTTCTGGTGAAGGTAGTGGTGACAACGAAATCAAGAACACAGAGCCCTTCGTCAGAACCGTCGGTCTTAGTCGGCGGCACTAATCTTGGAAGAACGAAGTTCCCGAACTGAAAAAAGTATATAAAGACACTCTTCTGATCCCGATGGTGGAATTTCGAGCATTTTCTGATGTATGTGTCCTACACTGTCAAAGATCGTTTTATCAAGATGACAGCTAACAAAGATATCTCAAAACTAGGAATATGTACGCAACTCACGCTGGTGGGAAGAAACCCTGAACTGCAGCACGGATTTGTTAATCCGCCATTGTACAAGGGCTCTACAGTCATTCACACAACTTTGGATGGCCTTGAGAACAAAAGGGAAAAGTTCTTCTATGGGACTGCGGGCACCCCAAGCATCGAAAACCTTGAAAACGCATGGACCCACTTAACGGGAGCCGCAGGCACTCTTTTGTCCCCATCAGGCCTTGGATCGATCGCGCTGGTGCTTTTGAGCGTAGTGAAGGCAGGAGACCACATCTTGATCTCCGATAGTGTGTACCAGCCCACCAGACACTTGTGCGATGGTCTGCTGGCGAAATTCAAGGTTACTACTGAATACTACGACCCGCTAATCGGTGTCGGTATCGAAAGGCTAATCAGACCCAACACATCGCTTATCTTCCTGGAAAGTCCGGGATCCCAAACCATGGAGGTCCAGGACGTACCGGGTATTGCTAAAGTGGCCAAGAAACACGGTGTCAAGACTGCCCTGGACAACACCTGGGCCACACCGCTCTTTTTCAAAGGCCACGCCTACGGAGTCGATATTATAATCGAAGCAGGCACGAAATATGTCGGAGGGCACTCGGATCTGCTTCTTGGGCTGACCTCAGCAAACGCAGAAAGCTTCCCTGCGCTACGCGATACCTACGAGGCATTGTCCATGTTGCCAGGTGCTGAAGACTGTTTGGCAGCATTGAAAGGACTGCGGTACCTAAAACTAAGAGTAAAAGAAGCCGAGCGCAAAGCGTTGTTCTTGGCAAAGTGGTTGAAGAGCAGACCAGAGGTTCTCAAGGTTCTACATCCGGCACTCGAAGACTGTCCTGGTCACGAATATTGGGCACGTTATTTCGAAGGTTCTACCGGTGTCTTCACTATACTATTGCGTGAGGGGTATAGCAGGAAGAACTTCGAGGCCATGCTTGAGAAAACAAGTGTCTTCAAGCTCGGCCTCTCGTGGGGTAGCTATGAGTCACTTCTGACAAGCGTCAATCCTGTCTCCTACAGGACTGCGACAGTTTGGGACCACAAAGGATATGCAGTCAGACTTCAAGTGGGAATGGAAGATCAAGATGATTTGCAGCGCGATCTTGAACTCGCGTTGGATCGTTTATCTGCGCTCCCAAAGTCCCGCTTGTGATGAACTAGAGTAATTTGATGAATTTAGGCTTGGCTCAGGGCTAAAGCAATTGGCAGTGGCCCAGTTGAGCATGTGGAAAAGAGACTGCAATGCAACAAAGCTTGATGTTATTCCTTCCTGTAATGATTCCAAAGCTTAAATTGAACCTTGAAGGTGTTAAACAGGAAGCTAGTTTTGAACAGATCAGTGAGAGCATCGTCGAGAAACTTGGTAAATATGTGCATTCTCGATGTAGATTATAATAGAGCATGTCGGCACACGACCTGAAATTTCAAAGGCTTGGTCGCGATTTCTTTGAAAACAGCGAACTCATGCCCAATTACCAAGTCCACAGCCGTTTACCAGGGTTTACATTTCACCAAGAAGTACTTTTCTTCATTGATGTTCGGTTGTTGGACAAAGTACCAAAATAATTGACAGTTTGCCCACATGAGACCTTATCGACGTTTGAAGCTTTGATGCAGTGGGCCATCCAATTGCTGACCAGCCAGCGTCTTGAAATAGTCTATCTACCGTAGTATTGATTTTGAAATTTTCAGTAAAGAAGAAGCCTGACATGCTATACCGCCATGAAGTTGATTATTCTTGAATAACCTACTATCAGCACCTGAACCGATAAGATGGCAGCAGGAGCGTGAAGTAAGAGGCACGAGATTTGGGGGACATTCATAATTGTAGTTCTGGCTTCAGGGCCTCTCAAGAAGTGTTTTCATAACTTGTCACCGATATGTAGCATCGCGATGTGGTGGGAGGACGGCTAGGAGCACGTTTGTTGGAATGTTTCGGTAAAGCGCGCTTGACTTAGGTTCCAAAATGAAAGCAAGCCTCGATGGGCTTCGAGACCCAATAACACGATAGTTCGAAGACATTTATATATGTAAAAAGCTACGATGGTGCAGACGGCTGATGCAGTTATTCAGCTTTTCGCAAAATAAATCTCATGATATCGAGTTTTCTCAGTAAGTTCCCAATGATCTCTGAGTAACTCATGGTCAAGTCAGGGATTCAAGAGAGCGCCAGGGTGAATGATTGGACATGAGTGTCATTAAGTTTCTTGACTGTAAAGATATAATATCAAATGACGCTAATGCTAATGACAGAATTGAACAAATGACGAAAAACAAAAAATGACAACACTTACTATGCCCTCCCATGAACAGCGTTTGAACTTAATCACATTGGAATCTTCTACACCGTCTGTTCAAGTACTATACACTTCGCTCCTTATTCAGTTTCTAACCGGCCCGGATCAAAATACACATGTGGTGACTAAAAGTCAACTTGGTCAACCTCAACATTAATTTCAGCAGTGGAAGCTAAAGTGGCTCAGAGGAAATGATCATTGTTTTAGAAGGACAGAACTTCCGCCATTCCTTTAACAACTCGGTCTATCTAGTGTCAACTCCTCTCGGATTTCACCAATTTGGACGTGGTTTGGCAATTTCAAAATACACCGCAGAAGCTTAATCAGTGTAGCGTCAGAATGATGGAATGGTCGAAGGATTCAAAACCAGTAATCCCAGCCAAAATAACGACAGCCAATCCTTGAAAACCTGCTACCACATAAAGTCGTAATTAAATGGATCTTAATAGCTGCCGTGAAGGGTTCTGGAGTATAAATATTAACGAAAAATTGACGTCGAATGTATACTTCTGGGACGCTTAACCGAGCTTCACTAGGTGAGCGCCCAACCTCTCAAATTAGGGCACAACGTCACTATTCAAAGACTTCACTCAGAGCATCTGGGGAATTTCCGTCGGTTTTTAGTGAAACCGCACGTCTTTGACATAGACTATCAATCATAATGTCCGGTTTCCTGCATTTATTGATAGAGTACATAGGTTTTCGATGATACCTCGAGCTTTTCATCCAAAAAGTCCGCTATGTGTTGAAAGCCAAATACAAAGACAGCACTGGAAGTAAAGAGGATAATGAGAACACCGCTTTGCTTGGCTTTTCCTCTCAGAAGTCACGACCCAACGTACAGTTTCAAGCGCTCAAAGCGTTGATCGATCTGATGGCGGTGGAATGGGCAGAAGCAGGGTTCACACCGGTGACGACACGACCGTCAGTAATGGAGAAGTCGTCCCATGGTCCGATGGGGGCCAAATACTTAGCACCGCTCAATCTAGCTGTGTCTTCGATAGTGTTGAGTTTTTTCTCCTTGATCAAATTATCAACGCTTAATTGAACTTCGCCAATATCTGTGAACCCTGTGATGGCCTTGCCGTCTATGATATTCTTTTCGGTGTCCAAGTCGATCAAGTTTTCGAAAATAGCTGGACCGTGACACACGGCAGCAACAACACCTCCATTCTGGTATATCTTCGCGGCTAGATGCTGAAGCCCAGAAGCTGTTGGGTAATCGAACAAAGTCCCGTGACCAGCGGAAGCAAAGAAGATAGAGTAATCATCACCGTTGACCTCACTAGCTTTCTTTATATTCTGCAAATGCTTGTTGAAATCAGAGTTTTTATCGTCAAAAGCTTTTTTGTCGTCGCCGTTCAAAAAGTCTGGGGCTAGAGAGTGCTCGTCCCAGCCAAAAGTGCCGGTCTCAGAGACAAATTCCACTTCGAAACCCTTGGACTTGTAAGTTTGGAAAGGGTGCAAAGCTTCCACGACAAACACACCGGTCTTGGAGCCATCAGCGTAGAAGACACCGTTGTAAGAGGTTACGGCTATCAGAGCTTTTTTTGGTAAGGCCATTTTTTTCAAATGTTATGTTGTAATTTCTTGGCTTATAGATGAACACTGAAATCAGTACCGTCTTGAAAAAGTGAACAGAAGAGGAGGATGCGAAAAGATTAGGAACCCCAAACGATTACCGCCTGCCTTAAGTAGTCTTCTTAAACATGTGCTTATAAATATTCCTTAGCACTTCTCCAAATTCTTGCTAGTTCCTTTGCATGGTTGCTTCTAGAAACTTTTTCCCAAAAAAGCTCCCAGCCAACTAAAACTTTTTCCCAAAAAAGCTCCCAGCCAACTAAAACTGACCTTTCCAGAAGCTCATTGAAGTTCCGTACTCACCGTCAGCTAAAAGACTTTCTTCACCTTGAATACGTGATTACTACCGTAGCTATTAATACGCTGTCGATGAAGGGCCGTGACATTCACGCTGCAGTGGTTCACATTTGGCACTGGATGAGCCAGCACGGTTTACGGCTCCGAAGTTGAGTTCCGGTTTTTTGGAAGGATGAGCGACATGATGCTGGCCATGATGGTATTTACTCAAGAAGTATTCTTGATTCCAAAACCCTGTCACAGGCAATTTTTTACAGCATCCTGTTTGCATTGAATGTAATGCCCTAGCACAGCAACAGTAGTGTAGGTGTAATTTTTTTTAACCGGGATTCTAGAACCATGGTGGAAACTGACACCACCGGTGAAAGAGGATTTCTTGAAACTAAATAGAGATTCAATGACGGGACTTTCCCGAGCGCGAGGGTGGTGCAAACATGTCTTATTGGTTAGAAAGACCGATGCAGTAAGATGGATGGCCCACGTACAAGATGATAAGACGTTTAAAGAATCCAGTGCACGAATCCACTCGTTAAAAATGCTTGTTGATTCGAATCACTTAGTATAAGATGATAAGACAGCTCAAAGAATCCGACACGAATCCGGTCAATTATATCAATTCATGACACTTACATGTTAACGCGTTTTACTAAAATTTTATAAAAGCTGAGCGGTTCAGAACTTCTAATCCTTTCTCCATGTCTCCTCACATTCATCTGGGTTCGCCTTAACACTATCTGCAGAGGTATAATCTTAAAAACCGGATGGAAAACGATAATAGAGAATTGAAAGGTGGTCTCAGAAAGAAGCAGTGTTTGAGCCAGACACAATCAATGGATGAAATTAGCGGTTCCGAAACGCTGGTTAACGTCGACCATGGATTGCATGCTGAATCCGAGAGAGAAGACATAATTGAACGATCTTTAGCAACGTATGGTGAACTCGGGGATGCAGAAAGTAGCGATGACGAGTCGATCCAAAGCGACTTGTACGGTGGGCCATTAGACGAAGAATTCGCGAATCAAAGTACCATCTCTTCTGCCAATGGAATTCCACACATTCAACAAAGAAGAACGAATGAAAGACCCAAATCGATTGAAATTAATCAAACCATCGATAAAGGTCAAGGAGAATTAGCGGACGCAATTGTTAATCAATCGGTGCATTTTCCAGGTGCAACTAGCTTCAATGGGCCAAAAATTTTCCAAACAATCAATAGTCGTCCTTCGCACCGGCATTCGAATTCCACCATTAATCAGAGAGTCATTATACCCCATGAGGGCTGGACTGACTCGAGCGATTCCAAAAATATAGGACATGAAACCTCTCTTGAACCTAGTCACTATCGCCATCATAGCAGTTTTGGGGAATCGGATGGTGAACGCATACGGCCCAACACTAGAAAAAGACTGCGTAATATCGACTATATGAGCTCTGAGCGGGCTTTCAAAGAAAAGTTCGGTTTTGATTTTGTCAGGTTTTCGATGAACCCTTTTGATAAGTTGAACCAAAAAATGGGCCCACTTGAAGGACGTATGGAAGCGCATGTGGCGCCAGAATTCGATTCTTGGCTTTCTTCTTCTCCATACGGAATCTGGGTTACCAAAGTTGAAGATGAGAACCCTTACGCTGTAAATATGATGGATGTGGGCACAAATTCTCTTTTCAAGACAATCCAACGTCATCAAATATCTTCAAACATCTCAAACATAAGCATAGCGATGACTTTGCATTATTCAACAAAGGTCTGAGCGGGAATCAGAGAACTCTGGAAGCATTTTCCACAGGTTTTTCGACTTCCACAAAGCCTATTCCTCTGACAAAGAGATTCGTTGAATTTTCGGCTCGTAATAAGTCTGAGCTGATCCAGCTTCATGCTTCTATTGAAAATTTCGTCCCGCTACATTTGGTCGAGGCACCTGCGATGAGAACGTTTCTACGATTCCTCAATACTTCTAATCGCCCTATCATTTCATCACGTAAAGGGTTGGTCAGACTTCTGAACGATTATGAATACGAATTCAGCAAAGTATTGAAGTCAACTTTGCGACACTCTTTCAACTTCAACCTGCTACTAGACATGTGGACGTCTTCAAATAAAAAGAGCTATTTAGCCGTCATGATATCATTCTGCCCTAACCTAAAAACCAAGTCGCACTTGGAGAAGGATGACTTGGTTAATCAAGGAAATCAGAACACACACGTCCTTGATTTCATAGACATGAGTGATCAACGGCTCACAGGTGAAAACCTTAAGGCTGCCTTATTGACATGTCTCACCAAATACTCGATCACTCACAAAATTAGCAGCATCACCATGGACAATGATTCAAACAATATCTCAGTGCTAGATAACCTCGATGAAGCTCTTGACTTAGGATTTGGCGTTGCTGAATCTAGCAACATTACCAAGATTCGGTGTATGAACGATGTTTTGAATGACGTCTTTCATTGTTTATTCAAAGCTTTTGAAATGCATCACTCTAGCCTGCTCTCAAGGATTGACAAGATCTCATACTATAACAACAGCAATGTTTTTGTCAAGGAAAAACTTAGAGCCTACCTTCCCTGCTCTACTCCAAAGTATACAGCCGCAAGTTTTCTTTCACGCTTTGACCAGCTCCAGACCTTCCTCAAAGTATCCAAACAACTTAAGAATTTTTACTTCAATCATCGGCTTCAGCCAGAATTTCAACTGAGGCCGGAAGGTGGTCCTGTTTTCTGCTACAGCAAAGAAGAAATACAATCTGTGACGTTTTTCATTCGCGTAACGCGCGTGTTCGAAGAGTTCGCCATGCTTCTCCAGAACGACTCGACCAACTCCGTTGTGAATGGGATCGACTACTACAAAGCTATAAATCGGTACTACGACGTCATTGAAACTATGCAGAAAGGCGCAATAGATGTGGAGACATTACAAGGAATTGGTCTTACAGTCACCGACTTACCTCCCGACGATACAATGAGAAAAATTCTTGATGCGGTGGCTAGCTCGCGCCCCAAGTTTGAGAAATACCAGACTATCGCCTATAAGGAAACTGGATATTGGGTAGCTCATATACTGCAGCCACATTGCAAGCTGGACCTACTAGAAGCAACCTTGAATGATACCTTACGAAACGAAGTTATGAGAGCAACTGAACGGTACGTAACGAGTTATTGTAAACGATTTGGCGAGGGTTTAAAAGATGCTTTGAGGACCAAAGATCAAAGGGCCCCCAATGGATCCATTTCTGGACGTCATAGACAAAACGTCACATCAATACTTCTCAACCACGGCGAGCAGCAAGCGAGATTAGTGGAGACCTCTGCAGTCTTGAGAGAATGGGAGGTTTACCTGAGAGAGCCATCTGAGGAAAATACAACATATTTGGACTATTGGATAAGGAACCAGAGCCGCTTTCCCGCAATTTGTTCACTGGCGCTTTCTTTCTACAACACAAAATTATCGACTGCTGATGTTGAACAATGTTTCTCCATCAGCAGTAGAGCCCTGGACAATAGGTTCTCGCTGTCGAGCTCGAACTTGAGACACGCGATGGTGTTGAGGAACCGCATGAAGTGCTTTGATGTATGTTCGGATATGCCAATCGTTGAAAATATTCCCACAGAGTGGACAAGTGAAGATACTGATCTGAGCTCGTCTTGCACTGCAGAATCGTCTGCAATCAAAGGTGATGACGGACAGATGTTAGAAGACCAGTCCAGTGAAGAAAGTGGTATTGAAAACGAGCTCTAGCCCAAGGAGAAGAGAATATTGCATTTGCATCGACTAATACACATACTAAATACGTGAGTAAGATTCCAAATGGTACAATTCTCGACCATCGACGGTTCCTGTTGCAACTAAGCCCGTTGACTCAATGCGATGACCTCGTTGACAATGATTGAATCTTGTTAATTAGCGAGCCCACATTCGTGTTTGACGACGTGATTCGCGAGTCCGGGGGTTCTTCCCCAGTTCTGGGTGGAGCAGCCACTTCGATGGTGGAAAAGAGATAAAAGTCCCCGATAGAGGCGATAGACTTTTTTAAAGCCAAGATGATGTACGCAATCAAGTTGCTAAGTCGAACGAAGGCTGTAAAACCGTCGCAGTCACGTGACGAGCGTCAGAATCTCGCGAACTCGCAGCTAGGCTATAAGTATGATCCCAAATTCCCATAAGTTGTATACGGAACCATTAGGCAAGTCTAGTTGGACGGTAGCTCGAACTTCAATTGTCTACAAGTAGGCTAGCATTATTTGTCTTGTTTCCTGTTCAACGCATTATGACGTATTCGAGCTCTGGGTCTTATTGTAGGCATGTGACACTTAGGAAATTAAAAAGCCATATGACACTATATTCAGTCCTCCCAACTTTCCATCTTTCAATCGGCTAACCAGAGGCTTGAAGCCAGGCATACCCGAAGTACTTGCTACGGGAATAGCCGCCCAAGTTTGTAAAATAGGCAGTCATCAAATGTATCGCCAAAATTCAAAGAAATCCTCATGAATCTGCATGCAAAAATTTGAAAGGTGCTTCGCAATGATTATGACCAAAAAAATACAACTCCTGCTACAGTGTGGTGAATCCTGTGATAGCTTTCGATCAACTCAATGACTTTCAGCGATTTTAAGCGGATTCAAAACGTCGTCAAATGCAACTCAACGTGTGCGATTCGCTGCTAAAAATATCGTGCATGATGAAGATCTTGAAAGCATGACGAATGCACCATGTGCTGGAAGAAGTATCTCAGCCGTTATGTCAAGTAATACAATTGAAGATGCCAACGCACTACACTAGATCTTTGTTGCACTCCAAGTTGCTTGCCGTTTGGATATGAAACGCAGCATGCCGTCGGTTCCGACTGTGATGCTTCATGGCAGGCGGTATCGTAGACTGTGTCTTCTGGTTTTGTTTTTACTGTCACTACTCACACTGAGTTCTTTCCTCCAAGCGTGGCGCTCAAGTGAGCTGTCGAAAATCGTGATAAACTCTCTACTTGAGTCACAGCGAGAGGAAAGCCTTACTGGGCTGAGGTTCGCTGAAAAAAAGTGCTCCGAATACTTCAGAACTTTAAGTTCGCTCGATAACGAATGGGAAACAAGAAGCTTTGGCGATGCGCACACGCCATTGTTTTCGAGGAGGCATGTGTTGGAGTCTGTTCGTCATATGAGGGTTTTCGGTCAATGCTTCATCCAGAATTCGTCGCCTTACGGGGACCTGAATATCAGAAAAATCGAAGACAGACTGTTTCCCACGTTTACCGGTATTTTGCCCACTTTTAGAAGGTGGGACGGACTGACTATCGAAGGATTTCCTGCGGCAGACGGTGTTCTCAATTCAGGGCCACCCATTTCTTCTGATTTTTCGTTCTGGAAGCAGGTAAAGGGCAAAATGAAAGGCCGGGGCTTGGTGATTAGTGTAAGTGACAGCTGCGTTTCCGACGCCAAACGGCTGCTCAGGGTGCTCAGAGCGCTCCATAACGAATTACCTATCCAATTAGTGCATAAAGGAGACCTATCGGACAATTCTATGCAAGAACTCATCAAAGTTGGAAGAGACACAATAAGCATCGAAATGAATGACACAAACTACGAGTTGGGATATCCGCAGGAGCTTTGGTTTGTGGATGCAGAAAAATCGGTAGGACCGGAATTTTCACCTTTATTCAAAAGGTACTCCAATAAGTGGATCGCTACCTTGTTCAATTCGTTCGAGGAAATGATTTTCTTGGATGTGGATGCAGTGCTGTTTGTTAAACCAAGCTCTTTTTTTAACAAAGATGGTTACAGGGAAACGGATGCTTTCTTTTTCAGGGACAGGCTCATTGACGAACATATAACGCGCAGGGAATTGAGTTACTTGAAAAGGCTGTTGCCATCTAAGATCGAGGCATCAATCTTCGATTTTGATACTGGCGAGGCTATGATGAAACACAGCGACGTCTTCCAATCTCGTTATAAACATGTAGCGGAAACCGGGATCTTTGTTCTGAAGAGGCCAAATCATATTCCCGGTCTTCTTATTTCTACCGCTTTGAACCTTTGGAAGGAAACAAATGAGATTTTTCATGGGGAGAAAGAGCTCTTTTGGCTGGGTCAGTCTATAGCTGGTACCGACCAGTATCGTTTCAGTAAAAATCCAGCTGGCGCCTCAGGTATTTTGACCCGAAATGACAAGAAGAAGATCACATATACATGTTCGGCTCAGCCAGCACATTTTGATGATAATAACAAGCTTCTTTGGCTGAATGGCGGAGCCAGGTATTGCAAGTGGAAATCCTGGGCGTCTGATTTTGCCAAACAAAAGTCACTTCGAGAAGCTTATAGTTGCGCCGAAGATTTGATTGAGCTTTATGCGACGCCCATCAAAGTTAATGGCGCAGTGATTCCCGCAAGGTCAGATTTGTCGCTGCTTCAAAAAGCGCTGGGACAAAAGAGTGGTTTTCAAAAGTGCGAGGCTTTGGGGTGCTCCGGTTATCAATGGTGTGCATACAACCGCGACGATCGCGCGACGGGAAAGACTTTAGAGTTTACCCAGGCAGAAGTCAGCCATTTTCAATTCATTGTCAACGTATGGAACGTAGATTGACGTTTCGAAAGTCGAGAATGTCAGAATCTCTCTAAAGAATTAGCATATGATTGACAGAACACGGTGGGGAAAGTATGCTGTTCATTTCTTATAGACAAGGTGGTCAAAAACCAGTATGGGGTCCAGCATATCTTCGAAAAAGACGTTTTCATGAACGGCACGGGCTAGAGAAGACTAACTAACTAACTAACTAACACTAACAACAACAACAAAAACAAGAACAATAGAGTAGAACGGGCCATGTATTATAGATTTTTTTCAACGCCGCATGCCTAGACCTAGCTTATTGTGTAGATACACTACGTAGACTTTTCGAAAACATAGTTTTCGCGGATATCATCTAGCAGACCAAGTTCCTTGGGTTCCCAGCCAAGCTGCTCGCGGGTGATTTTACTGACACTGGACCACCCATGGAGAAGAAGAACGACATGCTTCCGAACTGCTCGCCGGCCTTGGCAGGTTCGATGGACTCCACAGGGAGTCCCGCAAGCTGGCCGATAGTTTCAGCGATGTCTTTGGTCTTCACACCTTCGTCGGCAGTGGCGTGGTAAGCGGAGCCGGCTTGGCCCTTTTCCAAAGCCAGCTTGAAAAGACGTCCAGCGTCGAAGCGTGAGACGGCAGGCCACACGTTGGCACCGCTGCCGATGTAGCCGGACTTTCCGGTGGCGTTGGCGATCTTGATCAACCCGGTGACAAACCCCTGGTCTCCCTTGCCGTGCACACTTGGAGGCAGTCTTACGGACGAGGTCCGGACGCCCTTATCTTTGTAGCTCATCACGATGTCTTCGGTTTCGGACCTCAGAGAGGCAGCACCCATGGTGTGTTTTTTGCCGGTCTCGGTGCCCAGCACGTCCGGCGGGAAAACCAAACACACTGCAGTTTGCACGTATGGCTTGTTGCTGCCCTTTAGAGCCTCCAGCATGGCGATGGTCGCTTTCCGGTCGATCAAGCAGCATTTTTCGTACTGGTTGAAATCGTGGATGAACCCCAAATGGACCACACCGTCTGAAGCAGCAGCAGCTTTTTCCAGCACGTCCAGATCCTCAATGGTGCCCTTGACGATTTCGATCTCCGATCCCATTTTCTTGATTTTCTGCGCAGCACTGTCGGAGCGTGCTAGGGCTACCACCTTATGGCCCGCTTTCGAACAGCTCTGGAACGAATGCTCCACCGACAAAACCTGATGCTCCTGTAACAAACACTTTCATTGTTTGAGTGGGGTTATATGTTTCTTGTTGACAAACTAGTTACTGGCTATTGTACTGAGTAGTGTACTAAGTATGACTATTGTTCCAGTAAATATGGTTATCAGTTAGAGTTATTGATAACAACAGTATAACAAGTATCTTGGACAGAGATAGAGCTCTTTATATACAAAACACAGAATTATTGCCACCGGCTTGTCGTACCAGTCCTTGTTAAAGGTTTACACTAAGAACTACGAGCAATCTCCGAGTTGGGAGTGCTTTGTCAAGGTTTATCTCCGCTGAAAGTCCCTGATTCGTCAGGGTTCGTTTTCGTTAATTTCGTTGTTTTCCAAGTCTTTCGTTGTTTTCGTTGTTTTAGTTCGTTTTGGTTTCGTTTTGGTTCGTTTTGGTTCGTTTTGGTTCCATGGTGTTCCCTAGTTACTAATGTCTTTATAAGAAAGGGTGTTGCTAGAAAGGGTATATGTTATTCACATCAACAGTCTTAGTTCGTGATAATCACTAATAACACAGGACTGCTGTAATACAGCCGGTTCCGAAAGAAACTGAAGTGTTAGTGGCAATGGCTCAGAATGTTGAAGAAATATGGGCTGGTAATACGCTTATTTAGAGGTTTGAAGTAGTGGTGATTTGTGATAGTTGTACCGAGATCCGTTGCACGATGGGCGAGCGAGTGAGTGAGTGAAAGAAGAGTGAGCGATGAGTAATAGACTGACTAATTGGAGATGGAATTGGATGGTTGTGTGGTGTAATTGTGAGTATTCATGCAGTAGTACAGGAGGCTTTGAGCTTGAAGAATTGAGTTTAGTGGGTTACTACAATACAATACATGCGATTGTGAATATCGATGCAATATTAGTGGAAAAACAGTGCTACTACGCAGACAGTGCTACTTCACCACTAGTATAATAGACTGGGGTATTGAGTTACACTGCTTTAAGATATTCAGACAGTGCTGCGACGCTAAGACTGAGAATGACTGCGGTGTCACTTTCACACTACTTAAACAAACTCGAAACTTTGACAGTGCTTTTACAATACTAACGGGGTTGACTCTGTTATTGAGTTGCATTACTTAGTGAAGCTTGTATTCAGACAATGCTGCGACGCTGCTACTAGGAAAGATTTGGGTATCGAGTTGCATTACCTAGAGAGGCTCGATATTTAGACAATGCTGCGACGATACCACTGAAATGACTAGGTGTCAATTGATACTACCCGAAGAAGCTCGATATTCTGACAATGCTATTACTCAGAAAATGCTTTTAAATGCTCTTACATTACTACTGAGAATGACTGCGGTATTAACTCACACCACTCGAAGAAGCTCACTATTTAGACACTGCTGCTACGCAAAAAATGCTGCGGCGCTACCACTGAGAATGCGCAGGATAGTCATACGCCACCACCAAGAATGACTGCAGTGTCATCAAACCTGTCGAAATATCAGAGAATGCTATCACAATTCTATCGAGATGACCAGGGCGAAAATGCAGATTACTTGAAGTAGCATGATTCGATTCGAGTGCTGCTTGAACGAGTAGGAGTATTCTAGCAACGCTACCAACTCCTGATTTTCCAATAACAAGACTTCTGCTCAATGCTGCCAGATTTATCAAAGCATCTTCCCACTGTTGCTATTCACCAAAGTGTTTTGAAATGTCATCACCAAGACCAGGGCACTGCCTCAAGGTTTCCTGGATGATTTGTTGAACATAAGAACGCTTATTTCAGTTCCACTGTAAAAGGGCCGAGTCTCCTAACTTATCCTGCCGAAAATGACCTGAACATTGATCTCAACCAGCGTGAATCTTTTTTTTCGTTTGACCACAGTAGAAGATTCCTCTACTCTCACCGTGAAACATCAGTGGTGTGCTCCAATGCTACTGCAATTATCAAAAGTATTACTGTCAATCTCCAAGTTTCCGCCAAACGCACTACTGAACAACCCCCGGACTCAATCTTTGAGTCAAACCAAATCCTTTCGATAGCTCGGCAGCGTTATTACGTTATTACAACACTAACGTATTTAACCAGCCTTTATTAATCCAGATAGATGTGAAAGTGGTGATGGATTTTAAAGAAAGGTTCGTCCCGAGCTGGAAGTTACCCAGTACCAGTACCGTTAAGAACGCTACTACAATCTGTGGTCCATTCATTGCAATGCGTTGTTAATCCCGGTTTACTGCATTCTCCTTTTGAGCAACCCTTGCGTCAATGGTCCGCTTTCCATTCTAAACAAGAACCGCAGCTAGTATTATAGTCAAATTCTCACCTGTTGAAAAGTGCCAATCCCATGAGTCTGAAGGATCAGATTCAACAGAACAACTCCTTCTTGCATGCTACAAACGTCACTTGGGCTGCATGCGAACAGAGTGATCCCGTGTATTTGCGCCATTTCTCCAAGAACAGACTTGGTGCTATTCCAATCTATCAAGTCAAGCTTCCCTGACTCCCAGTTAAGCTTTTTGCGACCCACTGCACATCAGGCTGGTGCATCAACACCACAGGTCATGGCTAGGACACCAAAATGTACAGGGATCTTTGCAGTCTCACCCGCCAAACGTTGCGTTGCATACGCCACGAACCGAGACCAATGGCAAAATTGCGAACACCTTAGCCGTGCCCATCGAAGTCGTTTCACGGCCGGGACACAAGTTGAGTTCCAATATGCCATCATCACTCACTCTTACTAGGGTGATTTGGACAAAATTGTTCAGAAGGCTCATTCTGCTACCACTACTAACCATTTTCCCAACTCTCCCTCTTTTTGTCGTTTGCTCAAGATAAGTTGCAAGCTCTGACGTTGGAAACCCAATTCTCGCTCAGACAGCTCTTGAAAATATGGTATTGGAACGAGGACGCTCTTAACAACTGTTTCCTAAGTTTCTAGTCCTGCGTCACACATTCATATTGTAGCTTTCTACCTCGGTACTCATTGCTGAACCGTAGTGAATCTCTTGATTTCAACAAACCCCTCTTGTCTGTTACAATCTTCCTCTTATTACACCATTATTCACTTCTGGCATAAGATGTGTAGGTTTGGCATCACCATCATAGTGTAAGTCTTCCAAGTAGTTATTATCACCAACTTTAAGGCATTCCTAAGTTTTGTTGGCATCTTGACCTTTCATGTCGTAACGGAGTGTGTCGTTGAATGGCCTTTATCTTACAAATATATCCAACCTTCTGGATGTCCCATACCAGTTGCAGTTTAACTGCACGAAGCGACTAGAATCTAGTGATTCTTGTGTTGCACATATTTGCCCACCACCAGTACGCTGCCTGTCTTCACGGCAATATCGTCCTAACTGCTAGTGTACCTGCGTTCTAGCAATAAGAACCTACTGCCTGGTCAAGATGTCTGATCTTTGGGGCTCGCAAGCCAAAGAATATGCCGAGAAAACACAACGCGGACCTCCCAGAGACTCTGTTGATGCCATTCTACACACTTTAGATGGTTTGTTGCCCTTCGAGTCCGCTACCGGTGTTTTAGACAATGGATGTGGAACAGGACTGGGGATGCAAATCCTCATCAATAAGTATGCAGACCGGTTGCCTAATCACACGAGGCTAGCTGCTGCCGATCTCAGTCCAGGCATGGTGGAGTCTGTACGCAGAACGAAGATCGCGAACCAAGGGAACAAACTTTGGGACAAACTAGAGCTCGAGGTTTGCAACGTAGAAGCCATGAACAAATTCCCAGATTCCTGCTTTAGCCACGTAATTGCCTCACTTGTTCTGTTCTTCGCCAAGCCGGAGCCAGCGTTCAGCGAAGCTCATCGCATTATGCAACCAGGTGGAGTCATGGGCTTCACAACGTTTCGAGAAAACCAATGGTTAGAACTACGCAACGTGGTGACTAAAATTGACCCATCATTGAGGCCAGCGCCCTTACCTGCCAACTGGGCTTCTGAAGCATGGATCAGGTCACAGCTTGAAAGTGCAGGTTTCATTGACATCAGAATCGAACCCAAGGAAGTCTATCTCCAGGTAGATGACGCTTCAGTGTTTGCTAAGTTTCTGGTTCGGTCTGGAATCCCAGCGATGTCCGGCATTTTTGACTCCCTAACAGAAGAAGAAAAGGACCGTGCAGTGCAATTGGTTGTCGATGAGATTGCTGAGAAGTATCCGGACAAACCAGTCAGAATTCCGGGCGTCTTTCTGGTTTCCAGCGCAAGGAGGAGCAGCGACTAACGCAGTGGACCTTGCAAAGCTGCTAACTGGCAGGTGGCTTTTTTGTCAAGACTGAATAGCGTTACGGAACAGTTAAAGTGCTACTAGTCAGTTGGTTTTCAATGAGCTTCGAGTGATGATATGCAATCTGGCGCTTCTGTTGGAAAACCGCTTCAGAGTTCCAATTTTGCCCATTGAAAAGGCGGTTGCGTTTGATAAGGCCCTGGATCTTGGCAAATCCACTGATATGTCAAAATTAAACTGAAATCCTATTATAACGTTAGATCTAGTTAAGGTTGCATTGAAAACGGCATAAAATGGTTGTATCGTAGCTTGCCGGGTTCGAAAGCTTATACCTGCTTTTTCAGAGCAGCGGCTAGGCAAAACTGACAATAAGCGGTGGTGTGTATAGGTTGACTAGGGCGTTCACATTTGAATGGTGACTCCAGGCCGTGCAGCAAACGAGCGAGGAACTAGAGACACATATAAAACTATAAAATTGGCACTGCGTCGGGGTTCAAATGCTGAACTATCTGAACTTATTGAGATATCTCGAAGAATTCAACTAGCATAGTTGGCGTGGATATCATCCAACAAACCAAGTTCCTTTGGAGCCCAGCCCAGCTCCTCACGCGTTATTTTGCTTGAGGCTGGCGAGTTGCGACCAAAAAACGCGGCTAGAAAACCGAAATGCTCGGTTGCTTTTGCAGCATCAATGGACTCCGTGGGAACACTCAAAAGCTCACCAATGGCTTCGGCGATATCTCTGGTTTTCACCCCTTCTTCGGCCACTGCATGGTAAACCGCTCCCGCGCGTCCTTTTTCCAGCACTAGTCTGAATAGACAACCAGCGTCCCAGCGCGACACCGCAGGCCACACGTTTGAACCGTCGCCAATGTAGCCGGACTTACCGCTCTTTTTGGCAATTTGGATCAGTGCGGGAATGAAGCCTTGATCTCCTTTACCATGAACTGTAGGGGACAGCCGGACCTCAAGAGCACGCACACCCTTGTCTTTATAGCTCAGCACAATGTCTTCGGTTTCTGAGCGCAGAGAGCCCAGCCCGCTACCGCTTTTGTCAGTAGTTTCGGTCGCCAAAACTCCCGGTGCAAACATGAGCGTTCCTGTGGTCTGCACATAGGGCTTGTTGGTGCCCTTCAAAGCCTCCAACATCGCAACGGTCGCCTTTCGATCAACCAAGCAGGCTTCTTCAAACTTACTGAAATCGTGCAGGAAACCTAAATGTATCACACCATCACTAGCAGCTGCCGCTTTTTCAAGCACCTCCAAGTCTTGCAGGCTACCTCTGACAATTTCAATGTCAGAGCTCAATTTTTGAATCTTTTGTTCAGCCTGATCTGAACGGGCCAGGGCCACCACTTTATGACCCGATTCTATCAACTCTGGAATCAATGCTCCACCTACAAAACCTGATGCTCCAGTGACGAATACTTTCATTGTTTAAATCCTTCTTTCTGATGCTCTTCCAACGCAGAATAGATCTCGACCAGGTTCAACAACTCCGACTGCCCTTTAAATACACCACGGTCACCATTAGCGATCCTTGCCGAGACTTTTCTCCGTGTAAGATCCACGGACGCTATAGGAGTTGGGATCCAGTTTCCAGCATCACCGAAAGGTGCAACAGAAAAGGTATGTGGAAACTCCACGGACGGATTACCTGCTACAAGACTTATGGAACTTCAACGGAGCTATTTCCTGTAAAGACATTTCAAGCCCAGAGTTCAACTGGATTTACTTATACTGCTTGATATTGCCGAACAGTACGTTCCGTGGCCAATTTTTCGATCTTTTACTGGCACCCGGAGTTTACTGATCACCAATGATACTAAACGAGGCGTCGTCTTTGTTAACAGAATCGCTCGCTAGTCAGTACTGGGTTTGTCACCAGAAACTTGTGCTCAGCCAGTCCTAGAGAAGTGGGACATACTCAGACATGTCACCTCACCAATCCACACAATTATGACTTCCTGCTAATGCAAGCTCACTCCGAGGTCTTACGACAAGACAAGGAATGAGACGCTGTCAAGGAGATGTTCCAACAGTGAGTTTCGTCCCCATTTGGTGACGCCTCTGCCGCTCTATAAAGCTCACTAACCATTTGCACACCCTGCAAAGCAACCTTACGGCGAAACGGAAGAACCCTGTCGCTCGAATATGATAATAACGACACCAAGCTACCAAATTATCACCAGAAAAAAACCAATTCGGTCCCACCATTTCTGCAGTTGAGCCGATTTGAAATTAGAGGCTTGCCTGTGCGTATCTGTTGCGAGCTGGGCTGTTTTGCCTCGAGCAGACTTTCTTTCCACGCTGCTCCAAGTCGACAGCACCAACATCCCGTGAGGTGACCACTCAAACGTCAATTCCGCCGAATCTACTTTCCTCAGAGGCTTTTATCGCTTTGTTGGCTCTATAGTGGCATTCGCGGAAAGAACATTATGCTTTGACGGTTGTTATAAGCCCCCATTGACTATTAAAGCTTTTTCAGCATAGGTAAATCGGAATGTCCTATTAGGTGAGCTTTCTGGTGTCTGAGAATTTATCCCGGGACCCTGCAAAGTCTACCTACTTACAAGGTCACTGCTGCCCACGCTCTAGCGTGGGGTCTGCGCCCAACCCTCGTTTCCCTTGTGGATGTTTGACCATTCCTTTCATTTCTCTACCCAGTTGCCGTCGCCATGTTATATGGTGCATTTTCACACTCCAGTGCTCAAATCGCCCATGATTTGGACTTGGGTGATTTTTGAACTTTGCTGATAGGTACTTAGACCAGTGCTGTCTCCAATTGGGGACAAATCCTAGTCGACTAGCTTTTCTCCTCGAAAATCGCAGGTTGCGTATGGCTTTTGCTGGCTTGTCAATAAATCTGAACCTGACAGTCTTAAGGCTTTTGCAAAACCGTAAAACGCCTAAATGACGGGTTATAGTAATGTTGCTCGGTCTTTCATTCCCCGCACCATTGTCATCGGTTCAAATTCGGCGGTAGTGTTGGGTTCTTCAAATGGTATGTTGATAAAATGCACTGCGTCAACGATCTGATTATTGTTGGGAATCTTGTAAGTCTCCAAGCTTTCCGTGGGCTACTAGCCCGACACTAAGGTGTTACTAAGACTGCAACTGCCGTTTGTTGTTGTATTGTTTTCGCTTTGGATGCCATCTGTTTTGTCAACACGGTGAAAAGAAGGATGAGAGTTGTGGGTTAGAAAGCTACCAGATGCTCATGTGAACTCGAAGTTCTTGGACAATCGGTTTGACGAGAACGATGTTATGGTTCAGCGTCAGATATTCCCCGCTCCAGGGTTGGTGACAAATTTGGTCTAGATGGTACCCACTCATTTTAAGGTCTCGTTGCCTTCAAACTCATTTTGAAATGGCTGCTTCGATTGCTTGCTCTGATCATGGTTTACAATATCTTGATCTGCAGCTCTGTGATACAAAGGATCCAGCCGCTATAACACATTCTATACAAATTATACTTTGTTTGCCCTGCTTGCATGAATGGATGAGAAAGCGCCAGTATCCTAGACTTTAAAATACCTGTTGGTAGCAATCCTTCCTCAGAAAAGCGTCTATTCGAGGCTTCTACAGAGGAATTCTTCGGTCAATGACACATTAGTTGTAAAATACAATAGACCTTTGAGACTTGCAGACTCCTTCCTCGACAAATCAAACAAGATAACATAGCAAAGGAGCTGTGGCGAAGATCGTGAAGCGCAGAATTTGTGGAAGGAGATACATCCTAGCTTTTTGAAGCAGCGCTTGGGCGGTTCGTGGATGACAGATCAAAAGAGTCTGATGTCTCTTTTTACCCAACAGTTGCCTTCAGCGGGTTCGAGAGAAAGTATAAGCACTTTGAACAAACACCAGGAAAAGCATGAGCTTGAATACATGACCGGTTCAAACGAACAATCTTACAGAATCATCACGAGAGGATTCCTTTCAACTCTGGGCCGTCACAATTGGCAACTTATTCAGCTTCCGAGACTTTCTTCTACAGATTCAATACGTTTCTTCGCAAAAGTTTGATCACACACTACCAGGAGAGATGTCAAAGCAACTGATGAAGTCGAGACTTTTTGAATTTTCACAAATACACTTGATGCCACCTGCAAGTCAACCGGCTTACCTCTAGCACATAGCAGAAATCCTCTATTGCACTAGGTGTTGTGTGTCTTTTCACCGTCACTTGCCTTTTGATTTAGTGGCCTCATGAGTTGACCTCAAGGATCACTCGTCAAGCAAAGTTGCATTGTAGTGAGTAGTATTCCAGTCCCAGAAGAAAGTTAGCTCAGTGGTGTTACTGACGCTAGAAACGTTACAAGCCTCGAAAAAGTCCTGGTTTGCGACTCTCTTTTCGGCGTATTCGTAGAATTCTTCAGCCTTGCATGAAAAACCGGGCCCATCTGAGCAATTCTTTAATGGAATCACCGCGTCGTTGACCACATATCTGACGTAAGAATCGTTGCTACACTGATACTTTTGTGTGTAGACTCTGGCACCTTGTGGAATCAACCACGACTTGTGGAAGACCTGATCGGTGAATGGGATGCGAGATGGATCTAGGTTTTTACCGTTGTCAAACAAACCGACAGTGGTCAAGTAGTTGAGGATGTCAGTATCGTGAGTGAAACTCAACCAAACCTTTTGATCGAGCTTTTCGCTTTGTTTGAGGAGTTTGACCGAAGCATTGAAATAGAGGGCCCCGACAGCTTGAATTAATGGGTAACCGGGCCCGTCTTGGTAGAAAGCTTCAAGATCGTTGTAGTAGGAATAGTGAATAAGTTCCTCCGCAGTAAACACATTGCAAATTTCACTGTAGCCACGAGCATTCAATTCAAAAGCACACCAGTCGAAGAGGTTATAAGCGTCTGATGTCGTCAAATTCAAACCGCGATTTTCTTTATTGAGCTTTCCCGCCAGCTCTTTCAAGTAAGCAGTCGAGTAGTTACCAAGGATGTCATCATTTTCGTCTGGATTCCATGCAGGACAAGCATATCCTGGTGATAAAGTATTGGCGCCGGAACTGGGGTCTTCGCTCACAACATTAAGCGAGACATTAAACTTATCGCCCAGACTATCGATGAAGTATTGAGCGGTGTCGTGAACTCTCTTGGAGCTAGCGGCAAACACAGCAAATTCGCGATTGGCCTCCAAAAAGTCGGCGTACTGGGCCACAAATTCCTGGGCGTGTTTCTTTGCGTCCATCTCGCCTGTGTATGGATTGATAGCATTAACAGAGTTTTGCACAGTAGTTTCCATTTCCAAATCGTCAAGGTTTTGGATGAAAAACTCGTAGTCCTCGTCGATAAACGATAGCGATCCATTGAAATTGTTTGCGTAACTTTGGATCTTGTTCCAAGTCTTGATGAGCTTCTTGCCCTTGCTTTTGGACGGATATCTCTCTCCGTGTCGAGCAAGAAGCTGGATCTGTGAAAGTTCGCATCCGGAAGGTGGTTCTATCGGAATTCCATAGCTCTCGGGATATGGAAAATATGGCCCAGAGCCCGCCAGAAATGGGAAAAGGTGCTCCTGGGTTCCGATGTTAAACAGGTCGGCCTTCAGATTCTTGGGAATAGCGACTGCATCGACTGCATAGAGTCCTGATAGGAAAATAGCGCCCACCAACATCAGAAATGGTTGATATTTCAGGAGAGGTCATAAGTTAGTTATCGGGAAGGGCAAGGTCCAGACATTGCTGGATATTTATGCTTCGGAAACACAGGCCATCGTAAACTTTGGGAATACGCGCTGCAGAGAAAATTTTTTGCATCATGGGTTCAGTTTTCGAGCCCACCTTCGGTTCTGTCACTTTCCTCGTCTTGATATTTTATGTAGTTCACGATTCACAGTTGAGTCACTGAGGTTACAAGAAGCTGGCACCTGCACAGCTGCAACGCCATCATGCGTAAATGGTGGAACCAGCTTTTCCACATTGTGCATCAAACTTCTGCATCAAGTCGTTGAACCTGGCAAACTCACACCACCTAGATATCTTCCGGCCATTTTGACTTACAGTGCATGGTATTTCACCATTATTGTCCAGGTAGATAGCCTAAGTATTCTGGATGCCATAAAGTTTGAAGTTTGTCTATCAATCGTGGTTAGAAAGCATCCCTGCTGGCAACGGCGACAATTTTTCGAATCTTGAGACTAGTCCAGTCGTTCGATGGGTCTGATGTCTCCAAAACAGCTGTAGATAATCTCTTAGCAAGGCAAAAACACGACAATGAAAGAAACAGAGCTTTGCACAACCTTCCTGAAGCTGGGTTTTGGGTGAAAAAGCTCTTGATTGAAGAGCCTTGGTGAACACCGTGTGTTAAGCCAAGATATCGAGACCTTGTTCAGACTGCTGGAAGCTCCAGCGATTTGTCTCAACCGAGTAGTACTTACATCAGTGCTAACGGCTAGTTTTGGAAGGAAGCGGTGTAAGCACACGTCAAATGGCCCATTCACACGTCAAATGGCCCATTCACATAGCTAAGACCATTGATCTTGGTTGTGAGACGTGGTACTTATCACAAAATGTAAGCTTTGCTGAGGCACGGTGTCACTTGAATTTCTTGATTGTTGAAATCCTGTGAATAATTCGTTCTGATGATAGCATGTTGTGAGAACGATGGCTTGTTGATGATAATGACTTGTGTACGATGATCAAGACTTGTGAACAGGTTGATCCATGAACAAGTTTTTTTGAGCTAAAACATAAAAAGTTCTCCAGCAAGGATAAAAAGCTCTGATCTTTGGCTGGTTGTTACTCTGTATTTAATTCATAGCCGTAGTTCCTATGTATGGGGCGGTAAAGGCATTTCCTGCAACAAGGCTTATTCAACCGTTGATTCCCCAGGTTTACCCCACATGCACAAGGTTGGTGGATCGAAAACACAACTGACTACGCCTCTGAATTGGGATCCGGACCTTCCTGACCGCTTCAGCACCCCTTCATCCCTGCTCATCATACCAAGGTGCGTCACTCAACTCTCCCTTAAGGGTCCATCTACAACAATAGCTTCACGATCTTGGGACCCTTTGACGACTACTACCAAAGAAAATTGTTCAACCAAGGTGGCTGAAAGCCCCGGTATCCCTACACTTCTGTACCGATGACTATATCTCCCTAAATCTAGACATTGGCAATGGCGCTTCTTTGCTGCGGCAACCTCCACGACGCCTATCAATGGATTCTCAACTAAGCACCCCACACCGCCCCTAATGAATACTATAAAACAGCAGCATCCCACCCACTGATTCCAAGCTATGACAAGTCTCAACCCCCCGACAATACATTCGACAGAGCTCAACTTTTACTGCGATTTCAACTTTTCATTATTAAAAGCGGTACTCTAACAATGGTGTCTTCTATCACTACAAAGCGGAATACCAATCTCAGATGGAAACATGTGGCACCTGAGAAACTACAGTTGCAATCGCTGAGGGTCGCCATAATAGGCGGCACCGGCGGGATAGGCCAGGCTTTGAGCCGGTTTTTGGACTCCAAAGGTGCAGAAGTGACCGTGGTGGGCCAAACCTACAGGGAAAACGATACCAGCAACATCAGGTTTATTAAGGCCAATCTGGAGCTGATGTCCGAAGCGCAACGGGTGGCCCAAGAGCTTGTGGCCCAGCCTCTAGATCTTGTCATTTTTTCTGCCGGGATTGTCGCTGCTCCGTCACGCGAGGAAACCGTCGAGGGTCTCGAACGCGACATGGCCGTTAGCTATCTCAACCGTCTTGTAATTTTGCGTGCCCTTTTGCCCAAACTGGAGGAAACCAAGACCCACATTTTGAAAAGGCCCAGAATCTTCATAATTGGGTATCCCGGAACGGGAGCTCTGGGAAGCCCCAACGATCTCAATTCTGAACGTCATTACGGTGCTGTGGCTGCCCACATGAATACCGTTGCGGGAAACGAGGCTCTGGTTTTCGATTGTGCGAATCGATGCCCAAACGTGAGTGTTTTTGGTCTAAATCCAGGCTTAATAAAGACAAACATTCGCAACAATTTTCTCGGGGCTGGCACTTGGAAATCCCGCCTTGTTGAAGGCTTTATTGGCTACTGGTTCCAAGATGCTGACACTTACGCCAAGCATATTGGGCCCTTGCTAGTGACACCCGATATTGACGAGCATAGTCCGGCTTTTTTCAATGCCAAGGGCCAGGCCATATATTCCCAAGGCTTCTCTAAACATCATATCGAATGGTTGATAACCAAGTCCGAAGCTTTACTATCCAAAGCTGGAGTGTCAGTGGATTGAACAGTGGATTGAACAGCGGTCAGTAAATACCAATGTTGATGAGTACTTTTTGGATAGTACTCATGATGGACAGAAATCAATTCTTGAAATTATTATCTTTATCACTATATAGTGAAAAAAATGAACCACGAGATGAACTAGTATAGAAGATATGCTTTAAACCATTAGAAAACAGGCCAGTTAAGCGTAGTTTTAGGCATTTTTGAGTCTTGAAAGTGGCTGCAATAAATAGCTTGCATCTTTTTATAGCCAATTGGTTTTTGGTTTAGGAAATTACTCAACGTGCAACCATGTCTGGCGAAAAATCTGAGTTGAAGCTCTGGGGTGGTAGATTCACCGGGAAAACCGATCCATTGATGGATTTGTACAATGCGTCTTTGCCATACGACCAAAAAATGTACAATGCGGATTTGGACAATTCTAAGTACTACACGGAGGGCCTTCTTAAGGTCGGCCTGTTGAACCAGGAAGAATTGAGCGAAATCCATAGAGGACTGGAAATCATTCGCCAGGAATGGGCATCAAACTCTTTTGTCGAAAAGGAGGGCGACGAAGACATCCACACGGCCAATGAGAGAAGACTGGGCGAGATCATCGGCAGGCACATCGCAGGAAAAGTCCACACCGGAAGATCTAGAAACGACCAAGTGGCCACAGACATGAGAATCTACTGTCGTGAAGCGCTCGAAAACGTGGGTCAAATCTTGCGTGAGTTGATTGGCGCCATTTTGCACAGAGCAGAGTCCGAATTGGACGTTTTAATGCCCGGCTACACGCATTTGCAAAGAGCACAGCCCATCAGATGGTCCCATTGGCTCAACCTTTACGCCAGCTATTTCACTGAGGACTTCAAAAGACTACAGCAGATCAAAGAGAGACTCAACGTGTCCCCATTGGGATCCGGCGCCCTTGCCGGTCATCCCTACGGGATCGACCGTGAATTTATTGCAGGAAAACTGGGCTTCGAAGGATGCATTGGCAACTCGCTCCAAGCAGTCTCCGACAGAGATTTTGTTGTTGAAATCTTGTTCTGGTGCTCCTTGTTCATGAACCACGTTTCCCGGTTCAGTGAAGACCTGATCATCTACTCCACAGCAGAATTCGGGTTTGTCAAGCTATCAGATGCGTACAGCACCGGATCTTCTTTGATGCCTCAGAAGAAGAACCCTGACTCCCTGGAATTGCTTCGTGGTAAGTCCGGAAGAGTATTTGGCTCTTTGTCAGGTTTTATGATGTCGCTCAAGTCCATCCCATCCACTTACAACAAGGACATGCAGGAGGACAAAGAGCCACTTTTTGATGCGCTTACGACCGTGGAACATTCGATTTTGATTTCCACAGGTGTTATTTCTACTTTGGCCATCAACAAGGAAAATATGTTCAAAGCCTTGACAATGGACATGTTGGCAACAGACTTGGCCGACTACCTGGTCAGAAAGGGTGTTCCTTTTAGAGAAACCCACCACATTTCCGGTGAAGCTGTGAGTAAAGCTGAAAAATTGAACTTGTCTGGTATCGACAAACTGACTGTTGAGCAGTACAAGGAAATCGATGAGAGATTCAATGCTGATGTGATGGATGTTTTCGATTTTGAGGCATCTGTTGAGAGAAGAACAGCCATTGGTGGCACTGCCAAGAGGGCTGTTTTGCAACAGATCGAAAGCCTAAAAAGTCAACTTGTATAGACGTTAGTTTCATGCAGCCTCTTTTGAGCTAAAAATCCAAATTTCAACAAGCAGAGCACACATTCATTGTGCAGATAATATTTGATGTATGCTACTTATGGTCAATTATCGATAAACGCAAGCACCCATATAATACGATTTCTAAGCGCCTTACATGCCACAACTGTTGCGGTGAAGTATTCAATAATGGAAATGATATCCCCAACCATTTCATTCTATGGTCTCAAAATCTGATTCAATGCTTCTTGTAATGAGCTGATAGGGTGGTGTTGTTTCTGTTTAGCTCTCCAACCCACTATACCGTCCGGCCTCACAAGAGTAGCTCCATACTGGTCTACGCCATACGTCTTTTCAAAGTCAGTGCCACTGTGAAACACAATGTCTTTGCCCACCAGGTAAAAATCAATGACAAGCTCAAGCGCCGCACTGACCTTCTCAGTCGCAGTGAGCCATTCCTCATTCTGAGATAGGACGACAAAGTGCTTGTTGAAAAGCTCAATCATAGAAATGTCTTTACCATCCCTTTTCACCCACACATGCGGTGCTCGAACACCAGGCTGACCTTGCCATAAATCTGGCCTTTTTGCTGCGGTTGCGGTATCGTCTGGACCACAGATGGCTTTTGAAACATGCAATTGACCCAGCTCCATTGCAGCATCGTCGATAATTTCTTCATCAGAAGCACATCCTTGTGCGAATGCCGCATAGTCGGGCCTAGCAAATGTTTGCTGATGCCTGAGCCAGCCTATAGGTTGCCTTTCGGTTGAATATGTGTCCAGAAGGGAATGAGAAGCTTTTCCAAGGAGGACAAGCTTTAGCTTCCAGGCCAAATTGTGAACGTCGTCAATACCGGTATTAGCACCGTAGCCACCCCGAGTAGGTGGTAACGCATGCGCGGAGTCTCCTGCGAGAAACACACGTCCCTTTGAATAGCTCTCACAGATCAAAGCATTTAGATCCCACTGTCCCGTAGTGATGATCTCGATTCTCGCATCAGTTCGACCCACTGCTTTTTTGATAGCATCAAGAAGCTCTTGTGAAGTTCTCTTAAGCCCATCTCTAAACATAAGAGCCCATCTTCCATCGTTATACGTGGTCAGAAAGGCTTTCAGATCCGGTTGGTCAATTTCGAACTGTACAATTCCTCTCGAGAGAACTTCATCTGCTTCAGGACACCGGAAAAGTACACTTGCAATGGTTTGCATATAGCCTCTGCCCTTTTGCAAAATTTGGAGGTCATCGCGAATGGAACTTTTCCCACCATCTGCTGCGATCATGTACTGAGCTCTAATCTTGTAAGCGTGGGCAGTCTTTTGATCCAGTACTGTGGCGATGACCTCATCGTCATTTTGCTCGAAGCCCAATAGAACGGTATTTTGACGGAGATCACAACCCAACTTAACGGCTCTGTTGCGCAGTATAGGTTCCAGCTTATCCTGTGGAATAGCAGCTCCAGTGAATGGTGAAAATTCCTGCTGCGGCGAAGCATCGGCCTTTTTTTGACCGCTCCATGGGGCTTTCTCGGTCCATTCGCTAGCCCAACTGAAACAAGAAGCTCGGCGAAGACGGGTTCCACGTTCAACTCTAGGGATCTGGTCGATAATTCCTACACTGCTGAAAAATTCCATGGTATGTTCAGTGAATCCAATTGCCCTTGGATGAAGCGACGATCCTTCATGTTTTTCAATCACGATATTTGGAACCTCCCAAAAAGACAGAAATAATCCCGCACTCAGTCCTACCAAACTGCCTCCGACAACGAGCACCGGAGTCTTGATTTCTTCCAAGGTGTTGTTTTGAAAAAGAGCAGATTTTGACATAAATTGAAGAGGTAAAATGGGACTTGAAATTATTGCTAGAAAATGTGAATTCTAGAAATATATCATTGTTTGCATCCAGGTTGGTATCGAATTCTTATGCCCTTTTATACTTTGATGTCAGTAAACTCGAGTTGAGCTCATCGTGAGATGTCTTACTGAAGTCCGTCAATATCCAGGTATTAAATGGAAATTAGCCTTGGAAATGCGCATTTTGAACGAGAGACAGATGGAGATTATAATGAAAGATTAGAAGGCGAATAGAGGGCAAAGAAATGCCGTCATTTCGAATTGAAGTATGTCTTGGAACGCTCAGGAAATATAGGAGCTCAAATCATCCAAGAGGGAAAAGGAGGCTTTTTGGGTCTAGAGGTAAAATCGTCACGTGATAAATGACAGATGACCGATGTCAAATGTTAAGCTGGAAAATAGTGATCTCTTTGAGAGTCGACGACAGAAGTCCAACAAGAAGTGGGAGCTCTTAGTTAAATAAGTTGTTTCTGGTGGTTGATACCTGGAAATGGTTACCTTTTAGGGGAAGGTTCGACGAGATTGGGAAAAAGAGATAGTTTGAATCTGGAAAATGCTAAGATCGCGTGACCCTTGGAAGAGGGTCTTCGCTAGGCTTCGAACTTACCATGTTTCTCAAATAAGAGCGAAATTTGTTGATTTTAGGTCTTCATTGTCCATGAAAACCCAAGGCTACGCTTCAATATCCGCTCACAAAATTATCTGCCTGGATTCTCTAAATTTTACTTTTAATACGCTTGATGACAGATAATGGAATACGATCTGACGATAAACCCGGGCAGCGTTAAAATTCCCTCCTAGTGGAAACATCATTGACATTTACTTCACTATTTTGAGGGCTCTCGTTATTTTTCGCATTCACATTCATTCACTTTCGTGGAATTGTAAGAAGCACTTCGGAGCGTCGAATTGAAGAAAAAAGGCATGCCAAAAATCCCAGAGTTTTACTCTGCATTCTTCATCTCTTCAATTGAAAATAATCCAACAGTTGTATAGTGGTACATCTACCCTCAAAACTCATTATGGAAACTCGTTTTACTGCACTACAATTTAACATTTTTAGTCAGAAAATCATTTTACAACAAATAAGAGCCTGCTTCGAGCGATTTTGACTCTGTACAATACAGCCGTAATCCACGAACCGCTCTCGTTCGAAAGCTTCTCTTTTTATGTTCTTGCAGGCCTGCTTTCCGGTTTATCTTGTCAATAGTGATTTCAATTGATGCAAATTAAAGACAATCTCTCAATGAACAACAAGAAAACATGAATAATACGAAAGACTCACCCAATTTCCTTTCAAAATACGGTCTCTGTGATCCTCGGATATTCACAGAGATCTCAACTACGTTTGAAGCCGGCTCTTAGCTGAGTTCTCTAAACCAAATCTTATTTCACGTGAGATATATGTATCTGGAATTGGTTATCGATTAACAACTTACTGGCATCATCAACACAAGTTTCAACATCTTTCAGCTCATACGTGGACTATTCTTTGAATTTGTGGGCATTAAGTATGAATAACGATAATTCAAACGTGGTTTGTACAGAAATTTCTCTTTTCACCACCGAGCACCGGAAGGAACAGGAACTACACTTGCTTAAATATGCTCTTCTTTTTAAAGAAAACACAGCTGAAGCACTGGGTCCTTTGGATCAACCTCCGCTAAAGACAGTGCATGTCCCGTTTTTTGTAAGCAGAGAACGAATTGCAGACTCTGGTGATTGCTATGTTCTTTTACAAGGAGACCAACAGGGTGAATCTAAAATCGACAGATTTGGTAAACTTTTGGGAAACCGTCATTTTCTATTCTCTTCTTTTTGTTTGAGTAGTAGGCCAAGACAAGTGTATGTGCTACTAGGAGATCTGTTGAAGTGTCTTGGCGTCAGTCTGAGCTGTGAGCAGTTTTTACAGCAGCATCAGCAGCTTTTAGGAGTTCCTGCAAGTCCCGAAGAAGTTGTGGCCCTTAAACAGGCCAATTTGATAAGCGGGATTGAAAGCGACCAGCCGAGTCTGTTTGTCACGGCAAAATCTGTTTTCATGCTCTTTGGGGCCCGTGTCATTCTCGGCGGCGCAAGACTCGTGGACGATTATTGGGAGGAACTCGCCAAAGAGCAGGGGTTTTCACCACATTCTCGTGTCTTCTTCATGAGTGCCAAGATCCTTAAAACTCTGGAGCAACTCAAACCTACGGTACATGCTGACGATAATAAGGATATTGAAGAAATATCGTCTGAACCCCCATATGTGGTTATCTCAGAACAGATGTCGCCTCAAGTAAGGCAAGAATATGCTCGCCAACTGGCACAGGGAGAGCGCCAAGAGTTGATTATACCTGGTCAAAATATTGTCGGTTCGCTCGAGCTGAGCGCACAGTCTAAACTTCCGAAGTACCACAGCAAGATCTCGCTGCAAGCAGCTACCCAAATGGGAATACATGATACTCCAATAGGCACGATGCCACTTGTACCAACGGCAGCAGGAGCACCTTCCCATTCCGAGAAAATAGAAAAAGAGTCTGCTGATAACAAACGAGATGCTTTGGTAATAGCCAAAGTTGATAAAGGTGGTTTGACACAATGGGTAAACTCGGGAATAGTTGCTCAGGATGTATCTTTGAATATTAACGGGTGGAAATTCGACTCTCTCCCTGTAAAGTCGACCGACAATGAGGATTTGAAATTTTCCATCAAGGGCTTGCCTCTCTATGATAGCACGAAACTAGCAGAGCGCCTGAAAAGACTAACACCCAGTGAGATAAATGAAATGCAACATATTCACGATGCTGTCTACCTGAATACAAAACTTCAGAATGCCAGAAAAATCAGAAAGACGAGATGGACAAAATACTGGCAGCACAAAGCAGGATTGCCCATTGGCTTAACCGATCAACAATGTGGTCGTGCTTTGGATAAATACTTTGAAGAAGCCGCTAATCACGTCGACGTAGTACGAAGCGTAAACACCGCTTTGGGCAAAGAGGAAGTGAAATATATGAGGAGGATACCTAATGCGAATTATAAGGGCCACTGTAATATTGCAGGCGTAAAGCCGCCCTACATAAATGAATGAATGACAGCTCAGAAGCGATCAAGGTACCAAGCTGGGGAAAGGAATAACATGACGTAAATATTCACAGTAGCTTTGTTTTGACAATTTCTTGACGAATCCTGAAGGTGTAGTAGGCCATGACCATCATTACTGCAACCAGCGGTATCAGCCAAATAGTTAATTTGCGCACGATTTCATCAATGTGAGGGCCACCGTTATCCCCAAACGCATTTTGTTTTAGAGACTCGCGTTGTCTTTGCTGCTCCGAAAGTAGTTTTTCCAACTTTTCGTCCAGTTTGAAGAAATCTTTGAAGCCTTCGTCCACCACTGGCCCATCTTCAGCATTTTTCTCTGAAGAGGATCTGCGAGAAGTCAACAGAGTGATCACTTTCTCCAGTCTCTTGGACTGTGTGGCCTGAACCTCAACCAAGTCATCGATAGCTCTAGACAAAACTGCAATGTCGTTGGCCAAGATTTTCCCTTCCAATCTGTTCAATTTCTTCAAAAGAACAAAGTTGGTCACAGAGTCCGCATCTTCGCTCATTTCGAGTGCCGTTTTCTCAACAAGTTCCTCTTCACCGGTCTTCTGGTTAACAACTTTAGTGAGAAGCTTAGGCTGATCCATGATGTTCGCATTGGGGATCATGGATTCTTCGGTGATACCGTCATATACTTCAAGCTGCAACAGTTCAAAAGACTCTGCATTGTCTGCATTATCGGCAGTAATTCCTAGCTTGTAATTCTGAGCCGAAAATTGGACCTTCTTGGTTTGGAAACAGACCCTATTATCGACTTGGACCTTTAGAAGTGGGAAATCTCCACTGGAATACGTTAGTCTGATTGTCAACGGGACCGTGGAGTCCTGGTAGCCAAGGAGACACGAACCGAATGTTTCGTCGTATATGTTGCTGCTGCTTAGTTTTTTTGACCCGTCGTTCAAATGTCCGCGAAGAGTGCTACCCAATTCACCGTTGTTGTCCATCAACAATTGCAGCCCTTCGAATTGCGATGGTCCATTGTGCAGTTTGGTGTCATCGGTGACTTTAGAGTTGATAAACCACATGGCCAATCCGCCAGCTGATTTCTCCTTATGGTTGATACTTCTTACCGTCCATTCTGCAGTGAAGGATTCTCCCAAACTGTACTCTTTTTGGGCCCATAAGGACCCTTTCGAACCCGTTTTTGGGGTCAAAACCACTCGCCCTTCTTCCAGCACTGCTTGTCCACCTGTTATGAAAGTACTGGGCAGTTTTTCAGCCTGTACCAAGTCTGACAACGAAAAGTCTTTATTCACCGATAAAGCTTCATTGCTAGCACTACCATGGCCAAAAACTTGGTGAACGAGAAGGCCCAATGACAGAACCGATTTAGCTATCATACCAAATACTTGAAAGCTCACGAATGTTATCAGAAGAGTTCACAAGTGTTTGCAAGTGTTCAGAATTTGTTTTCAATGAATTAGCCTATTTTTCAATTCTTAACAGGAAGTTGAAGTTATTAAACTTTAAAGAAGAATGTATTATTTAAGTAAGTATCTACAACATCTACAACTATAGCCAGTCCAGCTGTAACGTATTAAGTCGATGTATCTACTAGAACTGGAACTGTCGTAGTTAACAAGTAACAAAAGTCTTGAAAGATGAAATCAAATCGACGATTCGACTTTGTAGAGCCTTTCTTGTTTGATGTACCGCTACTGGACGAATCAAAGTGTGATCTCTGGTGAGCAATGTTGTTTTCTTCTTGTAACGGCCCTCAAGGGCTTTGAGTTTACGTACAGGGTTTAAAGTTGCAACAGAGACTTGGTTTCTTGAGATAAGATTTGGTTTCAGGGCTTTCTGATCTTTGAGACTGGACCTTGATCATTAAATCGAAGTATCTTGTGACAAACAATGATTCTTGATACAGATGTAAGAATGGAAGGGTGTTTCTGGGACAAGATATTGTGATGGTGCGAATCAGACGGAAAAGAAGACGGAGTCAGCAAACTGGGCATCGTGTCAACAAACAAGACATCGTGTCAGCAAACAAGACATTGTGTCAGCGAATAAGACATCGTCTAAGGAAGTCAAAAGAAAACTCGTTGTTCGACCTCTAATTTGGATCAAACCCCAAAAGACCATTGTCCCACAAACGACAAAACGCGGCACGCAATGTGCAGCCTTTCTGGGTTGTTTTGATCCGCTGTTCTTTTGACGCTCAAAATCCTCTATCTATCGTCATTCCTTTTCATAGAATAGCGCACTCTCCCTCCTTAAACGCAATCAACGCATTGTCCACACTCTTCACCGGAAACCAGAGTCGTAGATTTCGTCTCCCTTGCCACATGAGCACCAACGCTAACATCCTCCAAAAGACGCGATTTGACTCTCTGTTTCAAAAACTTGCTATCTGGGAACCCCCCGTCAATCTTACGGTCCCACAACACAACTTCATCCCCTTCCTCCGTCTTGTATCCCAGCACTCGAAATTCGCCTGTTTCACCGGGAATCAACGATACCTCTGCTAAAGAGTCCTGGAAAGTTTGCAAAAGCTCTTGCACGTACCATGCACTACGCAAATTCCATTTGCATCTGGTGCAGAACCTTATAGACACCTTTGGATATGGCATAATCCTTTATAAGTATCAGTTTTAAAGGTTTCATCAGAATGTTAATTCAACTTGATCTAAATTCTTATAAAGATCTTACAATCCAGACAACACATTTATGAACAAAAACATCAAAGGATGCCTTCATTTGCCGATAGTTTTTGGTCTGAGGACTTGTCGACAGGAGTGGACCACTTATTTCAAGAGCTTCACCGGGGTGGTAGCCAGAATGCGTTATTCATACAGTTGTTTGCATCAAGAATGCAATTCGAAGTGAACTACGGGCGGCAGTTGTGCAGTACAACATCCAACATAGAAGGTTTTTCCGATATCTCTGGGTCAGACCAATCGCTAGATGGGGCTCTGAACCAGATGGCCATTGCCATGGAAAAAGAGGGCAATGAACATCTCGCTATCGCTGCAGACATTGAAGCTACAGTGCTAAGGCCGTTCAGTCAATGGTGCCAAGAACACTCTCAAAGAGTGGAATACTCCGAAAAAATCCTCAAAACCAACGTTTCTAACTATCAGAAGTCTACAAAGCACGTCGAAAAGCTCGAACAAGCCTATTTCAACAAGTGCAGGCAGTTTGAAGACCACAAGAGGGCGCACTTCAACGAAGACGAGCTGGCAAATGTCATGAAACAGCTGGAACTCGTGCAAGAACAGGAAACAGCTTTGGCTAAGGAAAAAGAGTTCGAGACGTTCGGCAAAATCGGGAATCTCGATTTTGATGTCAGAACAATGCGAGAAACGCTACGCCTTCTACTCACCAAACTCGAAAAGAGTACCTACAAAGTCCCGTTCATCAACTTCCACTTCGAGAATACCAACAATGGTAGCGAGATCGTGAAGTTTTTAATGGAAAACTTGACTCTGAAAGACATGGATCAGGCAGAAGCCTTTGGACAAGATCTTTTGAACAATGGTTTCCTCAAATACTGTAATGGCGTGGGCAACACATTCGTCAACTCTAAAAAGTTTCAGTACAGCTGGAAACCATACGCATACAAATTTGCGCAGATGCCGCTGCCCAATAGCTCTGAATTTGAGGAAGACGAAGTCGAAGAAGGACCCCAAGCGCTCGCCGTGTATTTCAACGACTTCACTTCGAAAATTGCAAACTCTCAATCCTCAGGCTCAACTTCCCCATCGTTGACGAATACAGAGAAGACCCTGCTAAAGCACATCAAAGAAGTAGAGACTGCAGATGCGCGGTATCGAAAAGAATGCAAAAAATTAGACGCGGTGCGATGTACCTTGGAAGAGATGATCGTTGATCATTTGACATTCATGGAAAAGTGCGAACTGGACAGATTGAAAGCTCTAGAGAAAGTCATTTTAGATTTTTCTCCTATCATTTCAAAGAATGCTTCCGCCTTAGAGAGTTTGCATACAGCCGTCTTGAAAACAGGATCCGAAGTAGATCCAACGCTGGACTTGCTAAAATTAGTGGAAAGGGCAAGAACAGGAACTTTCCAGCCTCATGTCGTTACCTACAACAACTATTACAATTCAGGGGGATTCCAAAATTTTGGGATAGATTTGGAGACTCGAAGTCGAATGGATAAAAAAGCTGTTCCGCTGATTGTTTCTTCGATTCTTTCGTTCATGGATCAAGTGTACCCAGAGCTACCCAACGACAAAGTTAGAACCACTGTATGGACCGTTCCAGTGAAATTGCATTCGAGCCACCAGTTGAGAGCTGAGTTGAATGAGGCTCCTTTCCAAGAGGAGACACAAATAATTAAGATACTCGAAAATTATACCACACAACCGAGCACGATAGCCAGCGTTCTAAAAATCTATTTTTTGGAGCTGCCTGAGCCCTTGATCTCTTTCGAAGTCTATGATATCTTGAAGGCTCTCTATACAGAGTTCCCACCTTCAACGACTGCGAGTGAAGATCAAGCCGCTATTGACTCTCAAAGAGTTAACGGTATAACATCCTCATTCAACTCCTTATCAAAGCCACACATTGCGACACTGGATGCGCTTACTTCTCATTTTTCCAGACTCGTCAAAATCTTGAAAATGGGGTCATCCGCATCTAGTGGAACGTTGGCAGACGAGTTCGTCCGATCCGTTTCCCAAGAATTTGCGAATTGCATTATCAGGGTTAAACTTGAAGACGGGAATAATCTGGGGTTCAAGATATTCTCGGATCTGCTTCTCTTTCGCAAGCCAATCTTCCGCAGTTTGAAGAGACAAAACTCTAAAAGCCGCGATGATGAAAGTGCTTGAGTAAATTTGGTCTTCTGTATCGTTTTAGCATAAAAAAGCAAAATGCCTGTTTTCTTTTATAAAGCTCGTTAACCTTCGTTACTATAAAACACTTGGGAAGTAGTCTGTGACTCCCAAATCCCAATTTACCTAATCTTGATTCCCAGTTCCCTTATCCAGCTTATCAGCAAATAGCATGCGCGGACGAAACCTTTCTTGTTCCTGTGGGCTCAGAGTCCTTTCCTTAACCACTTTACCGCGTCTGTCCACATATTGTATTGTATTTTCTAGTGCAGGATACTCTTGTATCAGAAGCTCTTTGCGTCTTCTTCTAGTCTCTTCACTCGGTGTGGATCCTGAGTCAAAGGGATTTTCCAGAGCCTTTGACTTTATTACGGGTTCGTCGGCCTCTTCATCGGATGATATGCAAGACCCCGAATTGTTATTCCAGTCTTTGGCAAGTTCGAACGTTACAATTTTATCACTCGGCGTACCTGGCGTCTGTTTGGCCTCTTTTCGGGTTGGAAAATTCTCGATCTCCTCCGTTTCCCAGGTATCGCTGTATATCTCTGGGATCGTTCTTTTGGCCGTATCCAGCGGATCTTTCGTAATGGAGGAAAACTCGGGCGCCAAGAGTTTTGGAGCATTTTGTAGAGCAGTAGCGGGTTTCAACGAAGGTGGTGCCAGAAACCCGCTCTGGAACCGTTCTGAACTGCCACTATTGTTGTCATCGGGGAAAAGCACACGGCCAACGTTACGAAACTCTTGTTGGTAATCACCAAAATCCAATTTTTTCCGTACACTTTCCGAACCTTTTGCTGGTGTGTATTCTGGAGTTCTGAGGCCTCTTATGGGGGACGCCCGACGTCTTGGTGATTTCAACCTGTTAAACGGAAGCGAGCTGGGCTTTGCACCCACACTGCCGGGCGTCACCGGAATTGCAGGCTGTGTATGGAGTCGCTGTGGAGACATTGGAACCTGATCGCCTCGAGGAGCTTCCAGCATTACCTGCTTTTCAGACTTGTTTCTGGACCTGGGAGGGGTAGCTGGTACCATTTTGCGAGCAGCGTTGTAGCGTCCGCAACTGGTTTTGTACGGAACGGATTTGTTCGATTGAAGTTGAGTCTTGAACTCCTTGAAATGGTCTCTTTTTATTCAGCTTTTGTTGTGAATCTTGTTCGATGATTTATAGAATTTCACCTTATAGAGCCAGCCATTAAATTAAATTATAGCTAAGTTCAGATATCGGAGCCAGCCTGATGATATTTGGGTGAGTAGAGGGTTGAGTGGAGGTATGGTTGGAGGTATGGGTATAGGGTTGAGTGGAGGCATGGGTAGATGTGTGGGTATAGGGCTGAGTGCAAAAATGCATCAAGAAGTGAGTAGATGTTTGGGTAGAGAGATGGATCGAGGACGCATGTGTCAGTGATGTGGATGTGGTGATTGAGTCGGGAATAAGAAGAGAGAGAGAGGGAGAGAGCAGCGGGACTACCTCAGGACATATCCGATTTGCTCACTGTGAGATTCTTGAATAAAGCTTGCAAACCAGTCATTTGAGCAAGAAGCATATGAATCACGTGATAAAGTGATTGACGATCTAACGACAGTTTCCAAAGTACTTGAATCTAAAGGTTTAGAAAAGGCGTGGACTCACCTCAGGGAACGACCACAATTGATTCATCACTTACTGATCTACCATCATTCCCACCAACTTTTGATAAAAAAACGTTTCTACAAAAGTAATTCGTATCGTTGGACAACGCACAGCATAGTCATCTCGATGATAATTTCCTGATAACTTATACTGGAATCAAACACGCAGCTGATTCTAAATCTGCTCATCTCTTTCCACCAGCCATCAACATCCTCGTTGATTGAATTCTCAAATTGCAACATCACCAAACACGAAAGATGTATTTACAGATCAGACTAGAAACCCTTCAAGCTAGCCCATTCTCTTCACATCATTGGCCTTGAACACCCGTTCCTTATCTCAAAACTATCAGTGGGCATCATTGTCGCCGCTATGGTATGTGTCATGCCGCAATTTCTTCTCATTATTTCAATTCTAGCCCACTAACCTATTCTTACCACCAAGAATGCTTTGTTCAACCATGCGACGAAGCAGAAAAACCTGTTGCAACGAGACCTGGCAAAGTTCGAAAGAGACCTAACGGTGGCCCCAATTTCACTACAAGGCTCCATAAGTGCCACTTTAGTATCGTTTGAAAAAACCATTCAGCAATATCAAGAGCATTTGACAAGATTTTACACAACGAATCCCAGTGAAGACGAAAGCTCGAAACTCAAATACGAGACCAGGTTACAGAACTTGCAAAATGAGCACAGCACTGCAAAAAATCGATTCCAGGATTTGAAAAAACAATGTAACGAAATGAATTCTCGCGACAGGCTTTTGAAATCCAGCAGTAACCCATTTGATGAAGATTTCACGGTTAATAAACGTAACACAGCAGCATCCAATGCATCAAACAATATCAATAACGGCTCTGCAACCTCCTCGTTGCCCATGTATCAAGGACTACAAAAAGAATTATCCGTTTTTGAACGTGGGAATGCTCATCTCGACTACATCTTGGAAATGGGACAGCAGTCGCTTGATGACATTGTTGATCAGAATGCAGTGTTGCGAAAGATGGAAGACCAGATGACAAGAAGTATGCAGACGCTGGGAATCTCTAATGAAACAATTTCCAAAATCAACAAGCGCGTCTTCAAGGATAAGTTTATATTTTGGATAGGGTTCTTCCTTTTGCTTGCTGGGTTTTACTTTGTGATAAAACTGCTGCGCTAGTTATTTCAATTCAAGCATATGTACAATAATTACAAGAAAACATCTTCCTTCTTAACACATCTTCCTCAGGATCAAGCTTGCCAATAAATACAACTGGACCTTTCTCCCGCTACCATGGTTTGACCCGGAATTAATTTTAGGCTTGTCAGTAGGTGCTGCTGCATCCGCTCTGGGGAAGTGCTCAAATTGCTACCAGGCTCCAGTAGTTGAGGAATATTAACAGGTCTGCAAGACTTGATTTTCTTACCATTACCAAGCTGACCTTGGCTGTTTGATCCCCAAGCCAAAACTTCGCGATCCTCCAGCTCTGTCAACATGTGGTCACTTCCACAAGACCACTTCACTATCTTTGGCGGTCTGATAGTTGCTGTCGAACTGTCTTTCGACGCCTCATTGACTACCTTCAGTTTCGTTGGATCTTGTTGGCAATGCTTGAAATTGCCATTCCCCAGTTCGCCGCTAATTCCCCCACCAAAAGAGAAATACGTGATTTTGTCCAGGTCGTCTTGTAGAGACACACTTCCTTTGTTCCTGATGAATTTGTGAAGATCTTGCGGCACAATAGTGACAAACGAGGTATCTCCCGAAGCATTGACATCAACGCACCTCAAGTACGTGTCTCTTGGGAAATGTGCGCTAAAGCCACTTACTACCTTTGGAAATGGGAGATACTCCATGTCGTACCTTATGGGCTGGCCCAACTGACCATGGGTATTGAGCCCGAAAGAGTAAAGATCGCCCAAGGAGTCAAGAGCAAGGGTATGGTAATCTCCACACGCTATTTTCTTGATCGTTCGGGCAACGCCTTCGCTTCCAACGGCATTGTGGTTCAAAAGCTCAATCTCATAAATCTTGTTGCTCTTGGGGAAAGGATCGAATTGTGAGAGAGTTGGAACGCCAAACTGACCTCTTGACTTGGCTGCTTCCTGCGACTCCCCTAGTCCCGTGGCGCAAGTGTAAGCCTTTCCTGAGTTTGACAAAAAGACCAGATGCTCTTTGCCGACATCAAATTGAGTGACTTTATTTTCGCGGCGTCCCGAAAAGGCATCTTTAGTTTCTAGTTTGAAGTCGTAGTGACAGTATTTCCTCCATGGCAGTAGCCACGATCTCTGCTGGTGCGAAAACTTCGACCTTAGCTTGTGATCCGTGAGCGGAACAACCAAAAGCTCACCTTTCTTCGTTAGTGCATAAGCAACACCACTTGAAGATTTTGCCTGCACCAGATCCTGATCGGCCAAAATCAGTTTCTTGGACTTGGCATCCCAAGTATACAGATCGCCATTTTTGTCGATAGCCAAATTGCCGTTCTGTGTTGAAAGACAAACATCCCTCAGCTTTTGACCGTCGAAATGAGCAACTCGTAAAGGAAACTTGCTGTTTTTGTTATCGTTGCGACCAGAACCCCAAAAGTAAACGCCAGGTTCACTGCTGGAAGGCTCTGAGGCTGGAATTTTAGGGAATTCGATTTCCCTCTTTTTAGCGCTTTGTTTCTTCAAAACTTCGATCGCATCGTCATCTAACACGCTTCTTTCAGCCACCCACCAACTTTTGATCTGTGGCCATTGCATGTAAGCCGTGTATGCCGCCCCTACGCCTACAACCAAGAAAAGACCTTGGAAAACTGCGCGCAGCTTCATCATGCGAGCCATACGATCGTTATGCTCGGCCTCCATCTCCTGGGATGATCTTTCCGCCCACTGGTAGCTTTCTTTGCTTCTTTTCGCCGAGTACGATGCCCTGTTTAGCTTACCTGCCAGGAGCTCAGCATCGTCGTATTTGGGCGCGTTTTGAAGCAGAGGTCGGCAGCTTGTTAAAGAACGCCTCGCCTGTCGCTTCACGATAACCGATAGCATTGAAAATGACCTTTCAAGAGGGCAAATCCTAGCTTGGAACTCAGGATATCAATCGTTTTGGTCATCGGCTATGCATTTACCTCTTAATTAAATATTGTTTACCAATATCCCTTTGCACGAAAGCTCAATAGAGTACTTGTAAACGACTTTGGGTTTATAATGTGAAACGACTTGTGGATCGTTTTTTTCTTTTTTTTGTCCACAAGTTGAAACGCAAGGTACATTTTTCGAGTACCTTGGGAAATATTTCCACAAGTTGATTTCGAGCTGATTTCGTTCCCAGTGACTTGTGGATTAAAGAATTGTTATTGAAATAACAACAATAGCGCGTATCAGGTCGATCAGAAGATGATCACCAGTGGGTCTGACCATTGAGAAACAAGTTCAAGAGGGCAATGGAAGCAGCTTCTTGTACAAGTGACAACCAGTCAACGGGTCAACATCATTCTGACGCTTCATCAAGTGACTCGCTCGCTGATGAGGGTTTACAA